ATCAGCAGTTATTGACATTTGTTAAGATATCCGACCAATAGTCTGATATTTGTTTCCAAAACCATGCCACTATACTGGCTATAATTACTTAAAATGTTCTGTTTTTAAATGTTAGGATATACAAGTGTGAAAAGATATGTTACTATGAAAACTAAATGGAGTGCTTTGGAAGAGCACTTTTTTTGGGGGGGGTGAGGAAACAACTAGTTTTTAAAGGGAGTTACATACAGAAAAATAGCATGGGTTGGGCAACTAAAAGATTAGAAAAAACCACACATTTCTAGAGGGATTCTGTACTGATTGCTTACCAAACATTTAAATTCTCACTCTACTATGCAGACTCAAACTGTATTTTATAAAGGATACATCATTGATAGGGGTAGTTAGCAAATTATTTGAAAAGGCCTTCGCCTCACATTAAAAATGGACAAATGAACATATACATCTGTATTTTAATTTAAAACAAATGTTTAAAACAAGTATGATCATATAAACTACTTTTCAATTAACCAATTAGGATGCTTCTATTGTACCACTATTGAGGTGTTACCACTAGGATTTCTTTACTAGTAAAGCTGTTCTTAAAAGAACAAATGAAAAGCAAAATTACTCTTGGGGAGCTATTATAACTCAAAGGGAGCTTATTTTCCACCTTTCTAATTCAAAATGCCTCTGTGGGGGCCACATACAATTTCTTCCTTTTTCTTGGGTAGATTAAGAGTTGAATCATTTTAAGTGTGCCTGTACTTCTATTCTTGAGATTTTAACTCAGGTTTTTCACTCTAATTCCAATTTCAAATCCTTTAAACTTTTCCTCTTAGTTCACTTTTAACACACTAATCATCATCATCTTCACAGCTCATCACTAAAACCAAGCATCTCCATCTTTTACTAGAACAGGTAGAAAGGCATTCTTAGTGAAGTACTGCTATACTGAAAAAGGATAGGTAGCCTGTTGCTCTTAAGTTGTTGGTTATTCTTCCCCTTTCCACCAAAGAGCAATCACCTGCCTTTCTATTTTCATTCCTTTATTTCCTTTCATTTTCACATCACACACCTCAGACTTTCCAACTGTATAAACTACCTTACCAGGTGCGATACTGCTTATCATGACAACTCTCCAAAAATAATGAATTTTATTATCAAGAAGAGTCTGTCCAATGTATTCCTCCCTGGAAGAGACTGCAGGTGTATCTACTATGCAACAGAAGCTCTTTGTATTTTCAAACATACCAAAAGCCATTTGAAAAAAACATGTAAATATATTAAGTAATAAAGGTAAGTATGACACTGCAGAATTCTTTTGAGAAGCCCTTATTCCAATAAATAAGCTGCCTAGTGGTTGTCAGCTTACAATTCCAAATAGTGGTTTTTAAAGCCCAAGGCACACAATATATTCAGACCAGCAAAGCCCCAAAAGCTACCTGGTTTCCTAGCTTGTTCCTGCTTAATGGCAGTTCTGTAGTCTACAGATAAAAACCAGTGCCCAGCAACCACACCTTAAAACTGCCTGAGGCAAATAAAAATGTAGAGCATAATAAAATGGAACTCAAGTTAACTGAGTAACTATTGCTATTACTCAACTACTGTTGCCAACTGTTACAGACGCCAGATTCAAGATTTTACTGCTTCACCTCCTATAAGCTGTTTTTTGCCTTATACCAGTGGCTTTCAGATTTTTTAATGAAACTCTGGAAAATTTACTAGTCAAAATGGACCCTCTGCCCCACAAAAATACAGTTTTTAAGGCTTCCTGGATCTTTTAAATCCCATTCCTAGACTCTAGAGTTAAGAGCCTCCTGATTTTCATTCTCTGTAACAATCCTATGGGGTAGACATTACTGTCATTTAATTGAACTCAGTTTTCTCAGAGGAACTGATTGATTTCCTTAGGCCTTGGAACTATTAGATGGTAAAAAGTTGGTCCGACTCAAAATGTGGTGTTCTTTTTACACCACTACATTCTTCTTAGAACTGGAATTAGGTTTTCTAGTATGTATTTTGTCATTTCATGTTCAAGACAAAACTATCCAGTTTTTGGCTGCTTCTTGTGGATTTATGCAGAGGAGGTAGTAGAGATCACTAGTGTTGAGTCCTTACCCTACTACCAAAAGAGCTTTTGTCTAAGATCTGGCAGGAAAGGCAGACTGCATTAGTTCACATACTGCAAACTTCAAATTAACAACACAAGGAAGAACCCCAAGTTCTCTTGCAAAAAGAGAAGTCCATGTTGTGAAGAACATGCCTGTGACCATTTTCCACAATAATGCTCTATAACTCTTACACAAAGTAACAAGACTACCTTTTCTGTTTAATAAATGATATTAATTAAACACTTGATAAACGCTTATACCAGAATGGCAGTAACCATTTAATAAAAGACTAAAGAGCTCTTCAGAAAAACTTAGCTCCTTTTTATGGGAAGAGGTCTTGGCCAGTATGATGCGGGTGCTCAATAGAACAATGAAGTCTGTTTCATTACTAATGCAACTGATCAGTAACATTAATTCTGAAAAAGGATTACCTGCTTATTTTTCTCAAACAGTGGGGAGGGGAGTCAAAGTTCAGAAAAAGCTAGAATAAAAATTGTGATTATATATATATATATTTTTTACCATGTAAGACCTTACAATATAATTAAGGGAAACTTTCCCTGATCATCAAATACATCAGAAAGTTTTTTCTCTAGGAGAAATGTCAGTTCTGCTCTATTTTATTCTTCCATTTTACTCAAAGAGGGAAAAGGAATTTTATGCAAGATGTTTCCACAGCCAACACGACCTGTTTGAAAAAAGATGATGGGTCTACTTGAAAAAGAACCACAGTATCTGTAAATACCGAATTTTCCCAAGATGAAACAGAAAAGGTCTTGGAAAATTAGCAGTGCTGCTGACCTAGTTCTATTATCCCCTTTTCCGAAGAAGCCTTTTTGTTCATTTACTCAGCAAATACCTGAGTAGATACTAGATGTTAGGAAGCATGAACTATGCAAAGATCACTAACAGAGCAGAGCTAAAAGATCTGCTTTTAGGTCACTAAAAGACCAAGGCTGGAAGCAAAAATTTGTTTAGCTCTGGTATGGTAAAGGAATTAAACTTTCATTTATCTATACTCTCAAGATGGAAATTTCATTTAGACTTAGTGAGAGGCCAGTACTCTTCAGACTCAGTACTGAAGAACATGGATAGTCACCAATATCAAATCCCCTTAATAAAGATCAAAGATCAATCAGAGATCAATCAAAGAAGCTAGAAATTAGTCTAGTTATTACCATCCACTGATCCTATGCATTATTTTTTTTTTTGATAAGGAAACCAAAGGGAAGCAAAGTTAAAACTGCTACAGTCTTTTCCTAGAAAAATCCTCGCAATGACAGGAGCTTTTATACTTTGTGTAGGAAAAACATGCAAATACCTACCTGGAATAGCAAAGAAGCTTGTTAGTAAAGAGTAAATGTTACTACATTCCCTTTTATTCCTAAGATTGGCTTTTGTCTTAAGTTATAACTCAACAAATTCTTTGAAACCAAAATAAAAATTATCAGATATAATTGCAGGAAAAACACCAGCGCGAAAATTCAGTAACATCTACACAGGTATTAGTCCGCATAGAGAGCAAGGGAGAAAAAAACCCAACACGTTTTATTATTATAGAAAGATGTATTTTTGAATTTTAAATATTACTACCTTAGCAAATCACAAGATAAACATGTTATTTAGCCTTAATAAAAACACAGAATTCCTTTCCCACCTTAGAAATAAATGACGCCTATTAATGTAAAGATTTAAAAGAAAAACAAAACAAAACCACAACACCCAAAAACCCCACCCAAGACAGACACTACATGGGATATATATTTCAAAGAACTACTGTTCTTTGAAATATAGCCTAAAGAAAATACCATTTGAGAATAATTTAGGACTTAAAGCAATCCCATTAGTAATTAAAAACTTCTGGGAAGGAATCTTAATACCAACACAACTTTAACAAAAGCCCTAAACCTAAAACCACAGAAATAATCCTATGTTGCTCATTAGAGTACCCCTTCCATGAACAAGTTTCAAATAAGTGTGCACCTGGATTTCTATTCTGAGTCCCAGAACCAGTAACCTGTCCAGAGAAATTGGGATACTCTCTCTATATATAAGTGCCCCGCCATACTGAGTGAGACCCAAGTCCTATAGGTAATCATTTAATAAAATCACTCCTGGTTCATTAAAAAGGAAAAGTATTGATGTATATGTTATATACTAAATGACTGGATCTCCTACCAATTTATCCTAAGATTTAAACTTTTCTCAATGAGAAAGCTATCATTTTTAAGAAGGTTGATTAAAACTAGCTAAAATGCAATGTTCAATTCTTTTAAGCTTTTTAGAGAAGCAGTGCTTCAATGACAGTATGTACTAAATTCTTAAAATACTTCTTGATTGAACCTAGAAAAATCAAGTTTGAGTTATTCATAATCTTTTATTGTGGTTGTCAGTGTTCAAAGTTGACCTCTAATACTTAAATGCAGGAAGAGGCAAAAAGCAACTCTGAAGCCACAGTTTTTTGTATAGCTGATTCATTACATTTTAGTGGCTAAAGCAGGGAAGGATATTATGTCTACAATGAGTCTCCTACTACATCTCTCTTACATAAAACAAGATACGTAAAATTCCTGTATCCGCAGATGTACAGTTAAGAAAATGAGCTCTATAACTACTACAAATACCTTAACCATAACTGAAATGATAATAGTTTATTTTTTCAATTAGCACAAAATACACTACTAGTCTTTAGTCTACCTGAATAATCAGTACTGCATTTATTTTATACCAATTTACCCACAACTGTTTTAATACCTTTTAGTAATGACACCCTGAAGACTTCAAAATTTAGAACATTCAATTTTTTAAAGGAAAAGAAAAACCAAAGAAAGAAAAAGTTGAAAGGAACACTTGACATTCATTATAGGAGCCCTATATTATAATGAAGCTAGTCTGAATGATTCTCACCAGTACATCATTGCAGATATCTCTTAGCTCGGTCTCAATTTTCTCTCTGTATTCTCGAGCCATCTGCTGTTTTTTCTCAGCACCTTCCGTCTTTTGCTCAATACTTGAGACGACCCTCCAAGATGACCTACGGGCTCCTACAACATTTTTATAAGCAACTGAGAGAAGATTCCTCTCCTCATTGGATAATTCAGCTCCTTGCTCAGTTACAGACTTCATGCAGGCTGCCATGTCATCATATCGCTCAGCCTGCTCGGCCAGTTTGGCCTTCTGCACCAGCTCATTTTTATCCATGACTGGATGTTCTGCAGGGAAAAAAAGTAGCATTTAGATTTTTCCACCGAACAGACTCAAAATTATACCTTTTGTAAATAAGTTATATTAACACTTCAAACTTTAATGCCTATGGAAGAATCTTCATGTGAGGAATTTAATGCAGCCTCACAAAAGGATGACCAGAATAGGAAAAAAAAGGGAGAGGGCATACTCCGCATTCAGGGGACAAATTTAAAGCCATAAATATAAAGCAAATGAGAAGCAAAACTAAAATTGCATTACACCATCTTTGTTCAGAAGATCCTCATTTCACATAAAGCCAAAGCACATTTGGTAAAGAGGCTACCTTAAAATCTAACCCTTACCTTACTTGGCCCAAATCTCAATTCCAATTTCCAGTACCATAAGTAATCCAAAATTAAGCAGTTGTGTTTGTTTTTTAAGTGAAAGCACTGTCAACAAACAACATTACAACCTCTACCGTACTTCCACAAAATCATGATTCAGGTCAGTTTAATGTAACTCATGTCTTTTTACTTTAATAATACCTACTATTCTTGTCAGAAATGTGTAAGTTTAAATTTTATTGGTATTACCCCTACCCCAACTGCCAGCTGATCACAGCATGACAATTTTCTGGGAGAATAGGCCAAATTGCTTGATTTAAGGCATTCTGAATATAAAACAAGCACCCACAATCGCTAACAGATCCTAAAGCCTCATTACCTGTACCTTGTTTTATGCATACATGCTTCAAAAATACATCCATGAGTCCTACAACTTACCATGATACATGAGCACTAAAATGTGTATGTTAAGTGCTTCTAGTGCGGTCAGTGTTTTCTGTCATTGCTCCAGTTTAAATATATTACAGTGTTTCTAGTAGTCAAAATTTAACTGTCACTCAGGCTGCATTTACCCTAACTTCTCACCTAATTCTTTCATTTTAAAGCTCCCTAGACCTTTTAATTTACCCGTTACACTTTTCCTTAAAGATATCCTTTTGAAAGGTGCTAAAACAGCACAGAAAGATACTAAGCCATACACTGATCCCCACAGAATAAGTGATTTTAAAGATAAATATACAGCCTGAAGTGCACTATTAAAAGGTGAACAGAAGAGCCACAGTCACTATAGGGACAGACTCCCCAGTATCACATCCTTTACCTTCCCAGGGAAATCCCATAATACCTTTTTTAAAAGCCAAATCGAACAGGGAAAAGAAGTAATCAGCTCGCTTATTTGTGAGGTATACCGTGCCAATGCAAAACTATTTAAAATTTATGATCTCATACCCCCCCCACACACACCCCTGAAATTACTAATTTTTCCCTTAGGAACTCAAAACGCTCTCAGGTTAATGCTGCTTCTAACGAAAAATTATCAAAAACCAGCACAAAGGTTTCTCTCCCCAACCCTCGGGTACAAGGGGAAGTGCATTTCTCACAGAGTAGTACTCCAAAGCCTCGCCTCTGTATTGCGGAGAGGACTCGCCGCACCCATTTTAACCCTTAACCAACCTACGACGTCGACTGAGGTGAAACGAACACGGCCAGACCTTGACTCGAAAGTGCAAACCCTTCCGTGCGCGCTATCCGCAACCACCCCTCCTTGGCTCCGCCCAGGGCCCCGATTCTCCCTCTTTGTCATGGCGGATCTGTGTCAAGGAGCCCAACCTACTGCTGAGTGCTAATTCCCCCCACCAGAGCGAGAGGGAGAGGGAGGAGCAGCGCGCCCCCGCCCGAGCCGGGGGAAGGGGGGGGAGCCGCCCGCCCGCCCCGGGGGCAGAGACGCCAGCGCCTCCCGCAGAAGCGGAACCAAGACCGGCCGGGCGGCGGACACACCCCACTCTCCCACCCGCGTCTCCTCCGCCACCGGACACCAATGGTGCTCATTTAGTCTATAAGGGCCCGACAGCTGCAGCAGGTGGGGGAGGGGGCAAGAGCCACACCCAGGCGAGCTGGGCCACCGCCGGCTGTTAGGCTCAGCCTCACCCGCCCCGAGAGGAGAACAGCGTCTAAAAAGCCAGCACGGGGACCCTCCCGTTCAAGCCCACCGGGCAGGCGAGCCAGACGCCCGCCCGCCGCCTTCCCCATTCTCTTCTCTATCCCCACCTGGGCTCGGAGCCCCCCCTCACCCTGAGGGGGAACAAAAAAACACACAAAAAAACCCCCACCGCAGCCCCATCCCCCACCCCACTGAAGAACCCAGGAAATTCGGCCCCAGGTCCCAGGCCAGCCCCACCCCAGGGCCGGCTCCCCCTCGTGCCAGAAACGAGGCCTCGCCCCAGAGTACCTGGCGGGCGCCTCCGGGCCGGCCTCGGCTCGCGGCCCGGTCCCCAGGCCCAGCCCTGCCGCCGCGCCGCCGCCCGGATGGGGGAGGGCTGGGTGCCGTCGCCGCAGCGCTGGGCGCGGAGGCTGCGCGGAGGAGCGGGCGGGAGAGGCAGGGGGAGGGGAGGGCGGCGAGGGGAGGGGGCGGCCTCACCTGCGCCACTGCAATGCCCGCAGCCACCGAGTCATTATCTCGGGCGGGAGCGGGGCGGCGACGAGGAAGGGGCGCGGGTGGGAACGGATCGCGCCCAGAGGAGCCTCGGCCACCCCCGGCAGCCGGCGACCGGGCGGCTCCCCGGGGATCTCGCGTGTGGGCGCCCTTACCACCGCGGGGACGGGGTCCGGGAACGGGCGCTTATCGGGGCCGAGGCGTCGATCCGGAAGCAAGTAGCCCGAGGCGGCCGCGAGCCGCCCGCCCGAACCAGGCGGAAAAGAAGCCGCTGCCCGTCTCCGCCAGAGGAGACTCCGCCTCAGCCCAGCGCCGCTACCGCCGGGCGAGCGGGGCTGAGGCGCTGTGGAGCGGAGACGGCCCCCACGCTTTCGGAAGCTTGCTCTGGGAAAGGAAGGAGTGAGACTAGGCGGCGGCGGCCGGGTCCCTTACCTGTGTCCGGAGTGGGTGGCGGCGGACGGACGGGGGCTCAGCAGTCTCTGGGCGGCAGCGGCGAGGCTGAGACTCTGTCCGTGGATCTCGCTGCTCACAGGCTACAGCGGCTCCGCAGACACGGGGTTTCCTCCAATCACCAGCCCCGACAGCAGGGGCACCACACGCACGATGACGTCAAACGCTGCTATGGCAACCGTTGATTGGTGCCCACAGCTCTGGGGGCCCAGTGTAACCGCCGCTCCCTAGCGCGCGCGTCCTGCCCGCCCGCGCTAGAGGGCGAGCGGAGGAGCGTACACTTCTCCCGCTACCAACGCTCCTCCCCACCCCGCTCAGCTTCCAACTTCTCTGCTCTTGGGAGAGTGAGCCCGGGTAGGAAGCTCCTTCCTTTTTCCTTCCCACCACTGCCTGCCTACCTCGCCTTCTCGAATCCCCTGCAACCTCCACAGGCTCACTCTTCCTCTAAACCAGCAAGGAAATTCCTCCCCACCCCCACCTTAGCTTTCCGTGCGGCCCTTCTGCGCCTGCGCCAGTCACTCCCTCTAGAAGGGGCTCCGGTTCAGCAACATCCGGGACCTTTCACATCCCCCCCAACCCCTCCCCGCGCCCAGGCCCGCCCCGCCCTCCGTGCTTCGCGGTGGTAACTGCCTCCTGGGTCGTCCCGGGGCTGCATTGCGCGAGTGGCTCCGCCGCTCTGGCATTGTGATCAGGATTTGGGGGTGGCAGGGGAGGGCGCGGTCAGACGGTCGGGGAGGGGCGGTGTGGCGCGCTACCCCCCAGCCCGCCGCACCCGGTCGGCAGGCGGGGCCAACCTTAGCGCGTGGCCCCTCCCTTCCTCTCTTCCGCCGCGACTTTTACCTGCTGGCTCGCGGAAAGCGGCCTTAGACCTTTTAAGGCTCGGAATAGAGAGAGGAATCCGGCCACGGAGTATGGGCTGAGTGACGGGAAAGTTTTCCAATAGGGGACCCGGGATCTGTGCGCAGTGACAGCTGCGAGGGGACAATGGGGGCGCGAAGTGGGGGTGAGGTGGGTCGGGTGGGGCGGAGCTGGTGGGAGGTGAGGCGGCCTCTTTCAGAAAGCCTACAGCTCCGGCGGGGAAACGGCAACCTTCTTAGATGGAGGGTTCGGGTGATCGTGGAGGCCTTAGTATGAAGAGAGGCAAAGAATAGAGGTTGGCCCGTACCGACTCGTTTCTCGTAGATTGGATTTTTCTATCCAAATAAAGCGTCCACTGGAAGACTTCATGTTGCAGTGATTTAAAACATAAAGATCACTACCTGCTTTCTCCTGAAGCAAGGTTTGAGGGACGTGGTAGTTCCCAGGGCCCCCGTTGACCCAGCTGGCAGTGGAGCAAGGACCTGGAGCCAGGAAGAGGGGGAAAGAGAAGAGCGGAAATTGCAGGTGCCATACAAACGGGCCAGCCTAAAACGGTAGAGCCTCCACCCAGTCAACTTAAGGAAGTTCAAAGAGCTACATGAACAGTGTAAAATGCCTCTGCCTCTTCTCCCTTTAAATGTTAGAGCTAAGAAAAGATTAGTGCTGGCATGACCTGCAAAACCAGCTGCAAAAGTCATCCAGAGTTTAGTTAGCAATGAGAACTTAGAACTCTTCCTACTACCCCTTTGCAAACTCCATTTTGGCCTTACTGAGTTTTCCAACATATCCTTTTTTAAAATCATTTTCCCTTCATCTTGATAAGTATACTCTTTAATGCCCATTCCCTATTCCCCAATCTCCCCACCTACGTCCCCTATGGTAACCATCAGTTTGTTGTTCTTTGTAGTCAAGAGTATGTTTCTTGGTTTGTCTCTTTTTTTTCCCCCAACATACCTTTATTGAGCACCTACTAGGGGGCCTGCCTTAAGGCACAGGTGACAAAGGAGCCTCACAAAAGAGTTCAGCCTCAAGAAGTGCAGAGGATTGAATTTATCAGTAGCAGACACATAAAGTCTGTCCTCACTCTTCCAGCACCTTGTCTGTTCTGAATGTTGGATACAGTGTTTCTGCCACAAACCGGTCTACAAATTACATTTTGCCTGAGGCTCCAGCTGGCATTTAGATAGTAAAGTATAAACCAGGAAGAGAATTTTCCAGTGACCAGTTCAGTTTCAGGGTATTTTATTTTTTCCCAACTTTCCGCATCAGAACAGATTCGTACTAAACTTGATGAACAAATTGATCGGGGTTTTATTTCTGAGATATTAAAGTCATCGTTCTTTTGACTCCCAAGTAAAGTCTTTTAGAGAGTGACTCATTTAAAATATTAATATTTCAACCCCCCCCCCCCGGCTTTTTAAGTTGTCTTTGGTTTTGTGCTAGGCATGGCACCAGAAATTTTACAGAAGATACTAAGTTAGGGGTACCTGCTGGCTCAGTCGGAAGAGCATGCAACTCTTGAGCTCAGGGTCATGAGTTTGAGCTCCACATGGGGTGTAGCGATTACTTAAATAAATAAAACTAAAAAAATATATTAAGTTAAATCTTATTAAAATGGAAATTGATGTTTCTTTAATCTCAACTATGTGTCTAGATAGAATAATACCCTTTTGTTTTAGAGGAAGTTTAGGGATTTCTTTGCATCAATAAATTGTGGATTTACTTTAGGAAACAGCTAAATTAGGTGTTTACCTCATGTTTTAAATAGCAAGGCATATGTGTATGAAACAACAGAATTATTAGGTTTACAAACTCAAATCAAGGAATTTGAGCTCATGGAATAAAGGTGTAATGCAGTTGCAGGGAAGCAAGAATAGAGAAAGTCATGAAAGCCCAAGTGATAAGTATTTTGAGGAATAGGAATATATATGGCAAGGATAATGGCAAAACAAAAAATAAAGAGGACCTATGAACTTGAACTTGGGAAAATTACTGGGAGAATTTCATGTAGCCTGACCTGTTTTATTTTCTTCACTGCTCAACTTTGTTGCTTCAGTCAATTTACTCAACCTTCTATGCCTTAATTGCCACATCAATAAAATACTGGTAATAAAAACACTTAGCTTGTTAAGTGGTGTTGAGGATTAAATGAAGTTTTATATATATGTAATAGATAAGATGTAAGTATCTTATATAAGTACTTATAATTATGTAAGATGTATCTTACATAATTATAAGAGAAGTAATTATAATCATATATACATTGCTTAGCACCATTCCTTGCACAAAGTAGTTGAACTATTATTATTCATTAATAAGTGGACATATCTGATGTCTCTACTGTTCAAAGGGTTATGAAGATAAAATGAACGATATGGGGCGCCTGGATGGCTCAGTCGTTAAGCGTCTGCCTTTGGCTCAGGTCATGATTCCAGGTCCTGGGATCGAGCCCCGCATCGGGCTCCCTGCTCAGCGGGGAGCCTGCTTCTCCCTCACCCACTCCCCTTGCTTGTGTTCCATCTCTTGCTGTGTCTCTCTCTCTCTCAAATAAATAAATAAAATCTTAAAAAAAAAAAAAAGAACGATATATTTAAGATGTCTTTAAAAAATGAGGTATAGGGGCGCCAGGGTGGTACAGTTGGTTAAATGTCTGATTCTTGGTTTTGGCTCAGGTTGTGATCTCAGGGTCCTGAGATTGAGCCTCAAGTTGGGCTCCGCTCAGCACGCAGCCTGCTTGAGATTCTCTCTCCCTCTCCCTCTCCCTCTGCCCTTCCTGGTTACGCTTTCTCGCTCTGTCTCTAAAATAAATAAATACAAATCTTTAAAAAGAAAAAGTGAGGTATAAAGATGTTCCCTCTGGAAACACAAATTTGTGTTAGTTTGTTAGCACTAATGAGACTTAAGGGATGAGACAGTGAGTAGGCACCACTCATGTACAAGGGACTGTCGTGACCTCTTCAGATCTATGCCCTACATTAAAATAAGAGTCCAGGGGAATTTGCATAGGTGCATTATTCAAATTGGAAAAACTTCAAAAGATGGACTCTACTGATGAAGCAGTAGTTAGGTGATCTTTTAATTTTAATTGCAATTCAGTCAGGTTATAGTCTCGCTTTATCATGATTTAATTGGAGAAATGCTGCATAGTGCAGTGGGCTTTGGAATCAGAATTGAGTGCAAATCTTGGTTTGTCTATCAGAGCTATGTTACCTTAGGCTACTAAATTGCACATACTAACACCCAATCCCATCAGATTACTGCAAGCATTAAGTAAGAAAGTAAGGAGAGAGCTGAACAGAGTGCTCTAGATCACGATTATCTATTGTTGGAATAATCTGGAGTTTGCGGCAGAGACAGACTTGTTAGCTCTTGACCAAACCCGTTCTGCTCCATCAGAGCACAGCTGGACTCCATTGCCTGGGTCTCCCTTGCTGTTTGGTGTGGCCATGTGAGTGAGCACTAACTAATGGTATATGACCAGAGTGATGTGCTCCACTTGTGGGCCTGTCCCATAAAATCTTCCAGTTTGAACCTCTGTTCAGTCCCTGATTCAACCTCTCTCTGCGAACTGAATGGAGAGGATTGCAAGGCTTTAGAGGAGAGTGGGAACATGAAAGGATCCTTGAGAGCCTATTTGCTGATCATTTTAGACTTTATTGGGGGTAACTTCTAATTTTTAAGCTACTGAGATTTAGGTTTATCTCTTGTAACAGCTAGCACTGTAGTATCTGTAAATGTCATTGGCAAGTTCAAAGCATGGAAAACATTAAAAAACAAGGAAAGAAAAAAGGGGGAGGAAAAAAGTGAAGTTAGGGAGTAAGAAAAAGGAAAGTGATCTTGTGGTAAGCTCAACTACTCTGTTGACTTCTAGAATGACCTTTAAAAAGTAGCATTTCCTCTCTTAATTCTAAATTAAACTAATTGTGTCACTACTTACTCTATTTTTTAAAATTTACTATTTACTTACAAAAAAAATGAAGAATAGAGCTATCATATGATCGGGTAATCACACTACTGGATATTTACCCAAAGAATACAAAAACACTAATTTAAAAGGATATGTGCACCCCTACGTTTATTGCAGTATTATTTACAATAACCAAGATATGGACCCAACCCAAGTAT